TCGTTGCTCGCTTCATTTCTTCTCCCCCCCCCCCCATGCTCTCAATCAGTATTTCATTCTCTTTTATTCTTATTCTTCTTTATCTCTCTCTTTCTGCACCTGTAAATCTCTTTCTCTCTCTCTCTCTCTCCATTGCTCGCTCTCATTTTCTCCCCCTCCTCCCCCGCTCTCTATATCTATCTTTTTTATTGTCCTCTCATTCTGCTTCTCTCTCTCTCTCTCTCTCTTTCGTTAATTTGTTATATACCCACGTTTGTTTCTTAGTTGATTAGAAACGAGTGTTCAAACGCATTTTTAAAAATCTAAACTTATAACAAACATCATATTAAATACATATATGTCATTATATACATAGCTATTGCTTCAGAGTGGCATGTGTGTGTGTGTGTGTGTGTGTGTGTGTGTGTGTGTGTGTGTGTGTGTGTGTGTGTGTGTGTGTGTGTGTGTGTGTGTGTGTGTGTGTGTGTGTGGTGTGTGTGTGTTGTGTGTGCGTGCGTGTGTGCGTGTGTGCGCGCGCGTGCGTGCGTTTGTGCGTGAGTGTGTGTGTAAGTAAACATTCACATTGATCTGATCGTGAATTTACTTTTCATTTATCACATATTCATCATATAAATATCACCTCATAGATGAATACTCTTTACCACCGAGTTCGAACACATGAATATGCATTATTCACAGATTTCGAAACTTAACGTTAAAAAAACTTATGACGATCAACTGCTCTTTGGATTTCATCAATACAATATTTCGGAGAATACAACGGGAACTTTGTCTGTTGTTTATCTCCTTATTCTGAGAATAATTCGTTTACCAATATTTTCTTTTTTTCTCTTTTTTTTTAGGAATATACTTATCGGAGAAATCTCTTTGCGTCCGTATCCCAGAACGACGAGCATAAAAGCAAATCGCAAAATCCCTTTTCTACACGGAAAAAAAAAGAGAAAAAAGGGTATTACCAACGGAGCTTATCGTCTTTGCACTGAAGTTTCAAAGAGGACGATTGTGCGTCGCAAATATATGGGAATTTCATATACGGGAAAGGCTAGATCAGCAGCAACTCAAGGTGGTGTCATGGCGTATGTTTATTTCGATGACGTCACAAAATTACCGATGCTTAGTGAATATGGTCGATCATTTTGGTCTCTTCGATTTTCAAAAAGGATGGAGAATAATGATTTTAAAGGTTATATTTTCATTGAACAATCATCAAAACAGACGCCATGACACCTCCTCGAGTTGCTACTGATCTAGCCTTTCCTCTTTATACGTTGGTCTTGGCATGAGCGCTCAGAATTATTTGCGTTCGAAAAAGCACAAAGCGTATAAAATCACAGGCTAGTTCCTTGAAAATTAGAGTAACTGTAACATGCAGACCTTGTACGCTTACCTTAGAGTAATGTTGCTTTGTCAGGTAGCCCTCAAAACGTCGCGTATTTTGCACAAATGAGATAGTTTTCGCAGTCACTTCACAGCAGTTCACGGTGATAAGCGGTAGTTTCACCGTGTAACGTTTCGTGTAAACACAGTAAAATTCAGGATAGAATTTGAGTAAAATATACTTCATTGATTCTGAATTGACTATTCTCTTCAAAGTGTATCTATCAAATACGTCTTATTATGCATTTTATTTTTCCTTTAATTTATTCATTTTTCCCTGATTCTCATGTGTAAAATTCGGGCTGCCATTTGTCTTTACGATTCTGATATATCACTTTGGAAAACTTTTTTTTTAAGGGGGGAGGGATTTACAGTATTCAGTACCACATTGTAAATAACATGAGTAATTAAACGTATTGTAAACACGGTCAGCTAATCGTATCGTTTATTATCACCGAAATCTTTCTCATAATTTTAATACCGTTATCCGTTTAGAAATCTGTTAGTCAACACGTATTAATATCAACACATTTTGTTGTTACTAAGAGCGACTATTTCACAGACTTTATATAAATGTTAAAACACCCAAGTTGTAATTTCCTGCGATTCACGTAAGCTAACTGTTCATTTTTGGCGGGAAATTGTTGCGTGTCGAGCTAGTGTTCAATTTTACGCGCGATAAATGTTTCCTTTTTATATGTTTATTTGACTGATTTTTGCTCATTTATTTATTTGTTTATTATCATCACTATCATCATATTCATTATCATTATCGTTATTATTATTGTTTTGAGTCATTATAATTCTAACTAGAAATTATCATTATTACGATGCCATTTTCAAAATTTACAACAGTTTCCTTTTAATCAACAAGTAAACCATCCAGCATTATGTATCATGTTTTAAAACCAGGAAAATTATCCAAAATATAGATTTTTTCTTATCCAATATCATGTTTACATAATGACTGACGGTTGCAACAGCTGATAAGAAATCCGTTGAAACCGATTAACGTTCAAACGAAAATTGAGTTTAATCCAAGGTTAGCGATAAATTAATGTGGGTTATTATAAAACAGATACTTTTTGGGTGTTAGTTTAAGTATTTTAGAAACAAAATGCTTTATACTGATTTAATTTGTATTTACTTTTATATTTTTGTAGCACAAGTAAGCAAAATATACAGTTTGTGTGTATGACTCTGTCGTATAAAATAATGATAATAATAATAATGATGATGATAATAATCATCTAATAAAACCAACTATGTGCTTATGTATATCTTGGCATGTTAATTATAAATGTACCTGTCTGTATTACCTTGTTATGCTTTCTTCATTTTTATGGATTCATCAAATTTGAAACAAAGTCATCAGGAAAATAAATAATAAAATAAAACAAAAAATCTAATCAAGCGATCGGGGAGAAAATATATGAATATATAATCAGCTTTCATTAATTCTGATGCTACAGTAAATGTTTAATACACTTAACTACAATTAGGCCAAAAAATAAACATATATAAATTTAAAAATATATACAGAAAATAAGCATCACTTTTTCATTCTCATTTTATTCTTATATCATTATTATCATTACTTACGTATACCAATAAAGAAAATGAATATTTACGGAAACAATAAACAGTTTCGTTGATTTCAATCATGATAATTATTTACGTAAAACAATACCAACAATAACAACCACACTTACTCTTTATTTTCCTTCCACACTTATTCTTCACGTAGGCCAGTGTATGAAATGGTTCGGAATACTAAACTTTTTAGGGTGGAGTGTGCACTTATTTCGCAAGGGAGTGCTACAGGATGCTAACAATTTGCATTATTTTGTGATATAATGAAAGAGTGAAAAAGAGAAAATAGTCTACTGTGAAAATCGAGATTAAAACTAAAATGGCGGTATTGTAGAGAAAACGGGGTAGGGGGGAGGGGGGGGTTAGAAACAACTGCTTTTTTTATTACCTTTTTATGTTTATATCTACATTTGTTTATCTTATTTTACTGCACTCTTGATATTACTTTTGATATCATTATCATTATCATTCCTATCATCATTTTCATCATCTTCATTTGTATCTTTATCAGTTATCATTATCTTTGTCTTTATCATCATCCTTCATCATCATCATCCATCATCATCATTACCATCTTATCCTTATTACCATTATTATCAATAGTAACTGTAGCAGAATACGTTCCACAGCTTAAAGGGAAATCAGCTGTATTATAGCAGTAAAACAACTATAATTCATCACTAACAGCTTCTCGTGATTAATTTCTTCGGTAAATATATACAAAAATTAACTGCTGTATATACCTAAGCTTCATGCAATTATTACAAATCTGTACACAGCTATAAAAATATTTCCTAAGCCAATTATATTAGTCAAACAAGTATAATGGTCGTTTGTGTACTTGGAAATACGAAAACAACCACATTAGCCCATCTTAGCTTGTACAGGTATCCAGTCCATTTAAATTTCTGGGAAATTGGGAAAGGGAAAACAGGTATTTTGTAACTAACTGGTTTGGCTTACATAATACATACTCTTTGGTGGTCTGAACTTGTCATCGGCATAAACGGCAAGGAAATTATAAGTTGTTTCTCTTGATAGGCAACAAGAATCGGGTTTGTTTACATTTTTTTTTTTTTTAGTTTCTCTTCTTGTGAGTATCTGAGATATTTTCTGTTAGGCTTCTTGAATTCTACGGTATATAATTATTATTTTTTTATCATTTATGACGTTATATCAGTTATATTAGATGATTAATATTCAGTAATATACTGCAGGGACCGTTATGCTACTACCATAGTTCTATATACTATTATAAAGTATATCATTCTTTTTTATATCATGATTTTCGGTAACTTTTTCATTTGATCTTATTTGTTTTTCTGTGATTTTAGGCGAATTTTGGGGGAATAAATAACGTAATTGCTGGGAGGTGTTTATTTTGAACACACGAGTACAACATGAGCACTTGTGAGCATAAATTCCGGAATGGGGAGAGTTCGGATAAAAGTATATACCAATATATAAACTTAGTTTTATTATTTTTTTTTTGTTTTTTTTTATATTTTTTTACAGTTGCTTTCTCGTTTCATAGTGCTCCTGGTAGTAGAACTTTTAAACAAGCTTTTTCATCTCCATGACATCGAGACGATCTACCTGTACTTCAGAAGCAATATGAACAAATGGTTGCTAATATACAATGAAATATATATATATATATATATATATACATATATATATATATATATATATATATATATATATATATTCACATCTTACAAAAAAATAGACTTCCAAGTGGCTGCGTCCCGGTGCCAAGGAGCCGCCGGTCGCGCTGGGTCGGGCGGCGTGGCCCTTCCCGCCTACTCGCGGGCGGGACCCTCCGGCGCCCAACCCCGCCCATGCGCTCATGAGCACTCGGTGCCATGGGCCGCGGGCGAGAGGCAGCTGTGCGTCGGGCGCGGCTGCATCTCGGCCAGCGGCGGCGCGGCGGATGGGGCGGGGTTGGGGCGCGGACGCCGCCGCCCCGCGCTGGCAGAGGCGAGCGCGGGGCGGGGGGGGGGAGGGGACTCCAGCGCGCCTCTCTCCGGCATGGCGCCCTGCCGCAGCCCCGACGGGGGGGGGCTGGGGCACGGGCGGCTGACACGACCACTTCGGTGGCGTCCACAGCAGCTCCGTGGCGGTGGTGGAGACGCCGGCTGCGGAGGGGGGGGAGGGGGTGGCCGCGCTCCTCGACCGCCCTCCGCGGCGCGTACAAAAATACTCATTTCCAAAGGGAAACTTCGAGACTTTAAACTCCGTGTTTGACACGTATCAGCTTAAAACAAACAGTTTATTACTCAACACTTAAAGTAAACCACTCAAGCAGTGTTCGCGGCCCGGCTTCCTCGCTTCGCTCAGCGGCGAGCGGGTCCGAAGCCGCGCCGCGAACACACCTCGCGGGCCGGAGGCTTCCACTGGAAGCCGAGCCTCGCAACCTTGGCGAACATAAATACGGAAATTAGCCTAAACAAAACATGAAGAACATAGGCCTATGCGTCCCGGCGGCGCCGCTACTGCGAGGCGGCCGTGACTCTCGGGCTGCCCGGGCGCCTCTAACTGATGGCGCCTAGACTTAACACTAAGTTCATAGAACTTACACATGGGGATATATCATAGATATATGGTGAAAAAATACCACACAGGACTAATGTAGTCAGCTCAGGCCCACGCCCGGGGGCAGAGCCGAGCCGGCTACCAAGAAGACCATGTGCTAAACTAGGGGAAATTACCTTCCCCCCCTTAAACCTAAGCAGCACACACACACACATGCCCACACGTACACAGAGGGATTGTCTGGCCACGCCCTACAGACAGTAGGGGTGACAGAACTGGTACACCAATCGCTGGGACCTCTCCGTCTTCTTCATGATGCCCTTCTTGTAGTACTGCCTGATGGAGCGGGAGAGCTTGTCGTAGTTCATGGCTGGTCGGTTCTTCCTCTTTCCCCAGAGGCGAGCCACACGAACACTGTCTTCGATCTTGAACACTCCCTTGGGCCGGTCCAGCCACCGTATGCAGGAGCCGTAGAGCTGGGGCTGGTGCAGGAGCTCCTTCAGGAACTGCCACAGGTGGATGTGGGTGCCGCCGCGACCGTTGTTGTTGGTGGTCGTCTCTTCGTCTGCGTCGTCTGCAAGCAAGGGAGAAACCATCGTTAATAATGGCGATAAAATAACAATTATGATAATAACGATAGTAATAATGATAATATCAATGATAATGATAATAATGATAATAATATTAATGATAATCTGCTGACTTGTCTGTGTTCCCCGTTGAAATAAAAGCTACATAATGTGCATCATTCACTAAGTGGAAACGCAAGACAAGAGCGGCGAACCTACAACAGGAAACCCACTATCATCATGTTCCACTGCGTATGACGTCACCTTACTTTTCCAACTATTGTTTGTAAAAAGGATAAAGACCGGAAACAATCCTCTAGGGAGCTATTGTCTAACAACGCTAACTCTCTCAATCTCTCTCACATACACGCACATCAACCCGTCTAAACACATCTCCAAAAATCTCAAAAATCTATTAAGAAAACTGTCTATCGATAATCTTACCCGCTTAACATAACAAAAAATCTAAAAAAAATAAGAAAAATATCTGTAGATTTACCCGCCTAACATATCTCCAAAAATCCCAAAAAATAAAAAAATAAAAAAAAAAAAAAAAAAATTATCGAAGATATTGAACTAGGAAGTACGCCGCGACTAAGCTAACGACCTTATCAACACGAAGGTAAGTCGCTCAGGTGTCTATAAAAACGTTCTAGTAGGTTTTGTCTAAGGGTTTGCAGGTGTTACGATCAAAACTGGGACAAAGCAAGCAAAGGGGGGGGGGTTTCTTAGGGGAGGGGGTCCTTAGGGGAGGTTCTGAGGGGGGGGGTAGGGGTTCCTGAGGGAGGTTTCTAGGGGGGCTCGAAGGGGGGTTCTTGGCCATGGGCGTGTGTGCGCGTGCGTGTAGCCGTCCACAGCCTAAAGGAGTGATGGTGTGTGTGTGGGATTTACAAATACGAGAGTCACCATCACCCACCCAACCCACTGGCTATCCTTGAAGCTACCGCGGATCATTCCCGCCCTTAGCGCGCCCCGTGGCAGAGCTCAATTTACCGTGCTCTCGCCATAAAAGTAAACACAAAAACACGCGCAGAAACGTATTTCCCGCTAAATAAGTTGTAGTTATTATTAGGGCTGACGCCATTTTCGACGGACGAGAGAACGGGACCAATAACAGATGATCGAGGAAGGAGAAGAAGGAGGAGGAGAAGGAGAAGGAGGAGAAGGAGGAGGAGGAGGAGGAGGAGGAGGAAGAAGAAGAAGGAAGAGGGGAGGAGGAGGAGGAGGAAGAAAAGTGAGATAATAAGGATAAAGGGAAGGAGGAAAGGAGGGAGGAAGAGAAAAAGTGATAAAGGAAAGGAGGAAAGGAATAGTGAGAAGAAAAAATGAGATAAATAAAAGGAAAGAAGAAAAGATGAGAAATATTGAGAAAGTTAGAAGAGGAAGGAAATAAATTAGAAAAAATAGAACATCAAAAAATAAAGATCAAGTAACAACATAAAGTAGATAAAGAATTTAAAAAAAAAAAAAAAAATGCAGAAAAAAAAGAAAGATACGTGATGAGAAAGACAAAGAGAGAGAGAGAGAAAAAAGAAGAATGAAGCAAACAGCATAAAGGTGGAAAGGTGAAGGGAGTGGTTTTAGAAATAGGCAGAAAATGATGGGTGGGAAAGGGCCTTTGTGGTTGGCTGTGCTGGGGTGGGTGAAGGCGGGTCAGGGGGTGGAGGAGGAGGAGGGGGAGGAGGGGGGAGTAAGTGGTGAGGGTCACTTACTTACAAAGCAGCGTTGAAGAGAAAAGAAAAATGAGAGAGAGAATAAAGGAAAGAGAAAAGAAAAATGAGAGAGAGAAAAAGGAATAAAACACACAAAAAAAAAAAAATTGAATACATTATAGTCAGGTGAACTGTACGTACAAAGCACGAATTGGCTAAATAAAATAGAATAAAAAAAGTCCATAAAAATTTTTCAGAGTGGGAACGAAGCAAAATCAAAGAAATAGTCAAAAGTGTTGGAGAAATACTCGAAGAGATCGCTATAGTGTGATGGAGGGGAAGGTGTGGTGGTGGAGGTGGGGGGTGGGGGGGGGAGGGGAGGTAGAGGAAGTAGGAGTAGGAGAGAGGAGGGGGAGGAGGAGTATGGTAGAGGTAAGGAGGAGAAGGAGAGGAGGAAAAGGAGAAGAAGGAGATGGAGGAAAAGGAGAAGGAGAAGGAGGGGAGGAGATGGAGGAGTACGAGGAGGAATAGGAGGGGAGGGGGTACAATAGAGGGGTAAGGAGGAGGAGAGGGGAGGAGGAGGGGGGAGGAGGAGGAGGGAGAGGGGAGGAGCAAGGGTGGGGCGCCGGCCTTGAAGATGGGGATTTCCAAAGCTCGGAACGAACAATAATATTACAACGAGCATTCAAGAAAAGGCCAAACCGTCGCCGTGATAAAGGGTAGAAATTCCGTAAAGAGAGAGAGAGAGAGAGAGAGAGAGAAGAGAGAGGATTTTAATAAAGTGCGAGAGATATGTGCAAAGCAGAAGGAGCGAGTTCCCTGCAACCCATCACGTCTCTCTATCTCTCTCTCTCCACCAGCAGCTAAAATGAAAGCGCCTTGTGTGACGTCACCAGCACGGCCGAGCCAATCAACTCGAGGAGGTTGCCGACTTTCAGGCGAAATTCTCTCCCCCGTATTTTTCAATCATTTCTACCCCACTTTTACCTCCTCTATTAATCCTTTCTTAATAAATCAATCCAAAATCCCAACCCACACCTTCCCAAGCCCAAATCGACAACAAAGACCCATTCCCGCCTTCGTATTTAACTCATTTTATGACTAATGCTCCGCGGCTACCCCGGTGGAGGCTAGCTGTGTACGGTATCACCTTGGGGCTGTCACAAGCGAGTGGTACCGGACTATCGGCTCTCGGACCACACGCCATACGGGTTAAGATGGCGTGCGGGGAGTGTTCTCAAGGGCCTTGCCACTTGATAGATGCTTCTCACACACTAGCACATTATAGTAATGCTTCTTCTAGACAAAGAAATCTGGAGTGATCTCGCCACCTGCAAAACCGCACACCTACGGCATTCCTGCTGCTACTTTATATATATATATATATATATACGTCGGAGTTGCTAATATATTTATATATATATAATATATATATATATGTGTATATATATTATTATTTTTATATATATATATGTGTGTGATACGTCGAGTTTCCCTTATCTGGTACAGTGATTTGTAGATAAGAACGGTAGTGCGTTGTGGATATTTTGTTTTCGTGTTGTGTGTGTGTGTGTGTGTGTGTGTGTGTGTGTGTGTGTGTGTGTGTGTGTGTGTGTGTGTGTGTGTGTGTGTGGTGTTGTGTGTGTGGTGTCGTGTGTGTGTGTGTTGGTGTGTCTGTGTGTGTGTGTGTGTGTGTGTGTGTGTGTGTGTTGGCTTGCCCTAGCACGCAGACAAGTGTTGGTAAATTCATGTTTATACGAGTGTATGTGTGTTGTGTGTGTGTGCGTGTACTGGTGTGCGCTTGAGTTGTGTGCGTGTAGTGTGTGCGTGTGTGTGTGTGCGTGTGTTGTGTATGCGTTGTGTGTGTGTGGTGTATGTGAGTGTGTGCGTGTGTGTGTATGTGTGTGTGTGTGTGTGTGTGTGTGTGTGTGTGTGTGTGTGTGTGTGTGTGTGTGTGTGTGTGTGTGTGTGTGTGTGTGTGTGTGTGTGTGTGTGTGTGTGTGTGTGTATGTGTGTGTGTATGTATGCGTGTTGTGTGTGTGTGTGTACGTGTGTGTGTGTGTGTGTGTGTGGTGTATGCGTGTGTGTGTGTGTATGTGTGTGTGTGTATGCGTGTGTGTGTGTGTGCACGAGGGCCGCTGACACTCACCCTCAGAGTCGTAGGCGTCGTCCTGCGGCGAGTGGGCGGTGGGCGGCCTTGGGGCTGCCCGACTGCTGCTGCAGAAGGGCCGCCATGTCCAGGCAGGGCTCGTCCAGGTACACGGGGCCTGCGCT